GATAGTTTTATGGTAAAAATAAGTTTTAAGTCCTAATGCTCACATGTTGTTGCAAAAGCTTCTATCTTTCAAAAGAATTAATACGTTGATAATTTAATTACACAAAAAGTGATAAAGCCTATTAAATAGCAATTGACGCAACCCATATGGTATGACTTCAAAAGTTGGAGGGCATCTATATATGTAAAGGTCCATAGGCATAATGCAAATGCACCTATGTACCACCTAGTAAGATTAGTGGTAGTAGTCTCCTTGCTTTGCACCACTATCCATCAAAACCACCAACTTTGGCTGACATTTGATTTTATATCTTGGATATTAGCAAAGTCTCCAATATCGATACATAAATGCAACATCTCTTTTATGTTTTTAGGTTTTGAAGTCAAAATAATTGCTATACAAATTCAAAATACAAGAACAAGAAGAAGAATTTAAATTAGACAATGACACAAAGAATGATGATTGTAATGTCTACTTCAATTTTTTTTTTTTTTTTTTTTTTTTTTTTTATTTATTATTTTTTTCTTTCTTTTTCTTGTTCTTCCAACTAATATTAGCAATAATATTATAGTTGATAGCAACAAGAGTAACAACAATAACAATAATATTGTTGACTTAATTTTATATTATCTTTGAGACATTGTATGTGATTTCTAGTTGCAATCTAGGATTGCTTAAGGTGTCAATAATGGTGTATGTTGAAAATCATGGTAAAAGTCATAATAACTACAATGAAAATTGACCAATTTTTTTTTATTAGCTATAAATCTTGAAGTGAAGAATTAGATCTAAAGATGATCTATTTTTTAATGATAGTTATAATGGGGGGATTGATTTAGTATATACCTAGGTTGATTTAACAACTTCTAAACTTTATTGTGCCTTATCAACATAATAAGTTAGATTGTAAATAAATATAAAAACTTGTTATAAATGCCACAATGGTTGAATTCAAATAAATATAATAAATATAGATTTTATAAAAGTTCTAAGTTAATAATTTTTTTGGTATATGATAATATTATTATATTAAAATACATAAATATTATGATATTAGTATCTTAGGAAAGACCAATTTTTTTAATTTTTTTTAATATTTCATATTAGTCTTGACATTCAATATTATATATGGCTTGATGATATCAACAAGTAATTTAAATATATATGTAGATAAATTTTTAGTATTGATTATAAAAAATATTTATTTATAAATTATACAATAATAATAGTAATAGATGACTAACTTTATAGGTTTTAAAGCTAGCTAATATAAATAATAATAATAATAATAATAATAATAATAACATTTTAATATTTTAATATATATGTATATAAATTTATAATTCAAAATTTTTTACAATAATAATACAAAAGTTTTAAAGTTAAATGTTGGTTTTAACTAAAATCACTTTTTAATGAAGATTATATAGAAAAGGCTTATATCACATTAAGATTTTATAATTAAAGAATTGTAATCAAAGACTTTATAAGCAAAGCAATAATTTATTAGTTATATTGATTTTTTATATTTGAGAATCTTTATATCTACAAAATCCTTTAAAAAGATTGTGGTCCAAAATTTTTTATAAAAATTATTTGCTTAATTAATTTTTTTTTTGGAAGTTTTGCCTTTTAGATGGAAATAATATAAAGTAAAAATGGGCCATTCTTTATGGTGAATGACGCAGTTCTTCATTTTCACAGTCTGGCAGTGAGAGTGTGACGGTCCCTCTTTGCTGGACCTCATATGTGGAGGCTGCGCAATTTAACAGACATGGCTCTGCGCTCGACTTTGTTGCAGGAGCATATATTAGTGGGGTGTTGAAAAGAAAAAGATGCTACAGAGAATGCATGGGACAGCATGAGCGTCAAAAGAGCAACTGAAGGCGAATAAAGTCCAAAAAGAGGAGGGTAAGTGGCGTCTTCGTGACCGGCATCTTGATCAAGACCTTCGTTGGTTTCCAATTCGGTTAATGACCGCTGTATGTTTTTTCATTAAGAAACGTAGGAGTCTGGATCATGAGAGCTGCCATCGGCGTCGCGGGCATTGCTTTGATCCCCGCCATTTCGAGATAATGAAACTTGTGAGGGTTGTTGAAGCGACAACAATTTTGTTCCGGAAACGCTTCGGAGGGTTATACGTTTGATCAGTCTGTTAAAGGTGCGAAGTTTGATTACTACAGTTTGTTCCTGCATAATTTTCATTCTTGTGGGAGGATGTCGAAAGTGACCTTGTCTCCTGTCGCCCGAAGTGAGCAAAGATGTGTCACATTATTGACGATTGTTAGAGGAAGATGCGCTTGGTAAGTGAATACGACCTCCTTTACACTCCTCAAAGAAAAAAAATTTAAATCAGAACCAAATAGAGGACGAGATCATAATGTACTTATGTCGACTTACAACTTGTCCATTTCATATTCGCATTTGTGAGGATTCTCTTTGGTCATGTCGGGTAAGTCCTATTAGAGTGGTATACCGGAGCATAACTGATCGTTGGGAACGGTATTCGACTTTCTTTAGCCTGCTTTGCATGCGACATTTCACTGAGGTGTTCAAAGTGGTCATCTTAGTTTGTGCAGTGTCTCTTCAGCTTCGTGGTTGCGTATATTCAGCTGGACGTTGTCGGAACAATTTAACGCCAACTGGACTCTTGAATGTTCTTGGTTAATTTTCATAGACCATATTGTCCCGTCTGTTGGTATTTAAGACTTTTATCGTGCTTCTCAGGATGATGGACACAACTTTTGTCACCTCTGTCAAAAATGGAATTAGTTCCGGGGAGCGCCTGATTGAACAGATACTGCTCCTTCGATTTTTTTTTTACAAAATTCGACATCAACATCTTTGCAAAGTCTGAGAGCGATGAGAATCGGGAGATGTCAACCAATTTGACAGAGGCACTGCAAATCAAGGATCGGAAATATGACATTGATGAAGGTGATGGTTCTTTTTGTGTTCCTCAGACCGATACGAAGTTCAAAGATACGATTGGTGGCAAACAGAGCAGCTATACTTTTCAGGTAAATTTTGCTGGCACTCGGTTTTTGTTGAACACAACTTACTTCTATGGAGGAACTTGAGGGTAGTTTGATTGGGGCCTCATAAGTACCACTAATGCACAAGTCTGTGCGAGAGTTAGAGGAGGAGGAAGGGTTGAGACTCCCATGAAGTAGATTAAAAGACAGTGTTGAGATGTGCCCAGAGGAGAAACCATCTGGGTACGCCTCCGAAGCGTTTTTACTGCTCACTTCGTCACCCGTGGGGTCGAGTGTACGACTCAATTGGAGATTCATCTGTACAGAACATGTCGATGATCTCATAAATTCAACAAATGGGTGGCTCCGAAATCATATCCTTCAGGGTATTGAAATTGACGACAGGATTTGAGTTGACGTTCTGGAACCGAAGTGGACTGCACATCAGAAAGAAAATGACCATAGAATAGAGTTATATTTATTCGCAATCTCCATCTCCCTTCGATGGCAAACAGGTTGGGATTACTGAACCTGTCAACAACTCATGAGCATCACAGAACTAAAGATCACACGGCAAGCAGGAAATTGAGAAAACATGTTAGAAGCTTCTAGACGAAGATCTAATTTACTCGCGCTCACAGCGGCTTCTCAGGACGAGCATCAAACTCAGGAACCTATGCAGCGGTTTCATGGATAAGTTTGCTAATATAAAACAGTGGTGGCGATCGAGCATCGACTTAATGTAGATTGAGCTGTTTTCGGCGGAGATCCCATGTCCTAGGTAGGCAGAAGAGCAGGCGGATGACGAGGAGATGAACTGTGGTGGACTGGAGTGCTGCAATAACGGATGCAAGTGGGCAGCCCACTTGCACTGCCCTAGCAATATTTAATAATAGATTATCAGCACAATCCCAACACGAAGTCGACTTCCCTTATGTCCGCTAGTACCTCATCCGCCAGTTCTCATTCGCCACCCCAAAGTCATTCTCCCTCCGCTTCTTCATAAGCTGTATTCTCGGACCAAAAAACAATTTCCAAAGTACTATACGCTCACCACATGCAGAACTAGGCTATTTTCCTTTTGTTTTGTTCTCATCAAAAGTCCAAATTCCTCCTAAATATAGAGAATCTAACCCAGATTCCCTTCGCATGGTGTGCAAGCATGTCGCACGGGGAATGAAGGTCATCTTTGAGTTGCAGTGAGAACGGAGACACTGGACACTTGGGAGGAAATACAACCATCGGAAGGATGAGTAGAATCCAAGTAGAAAAATGATTGGGAAGTGTCCATTGCAAGGGTTTCTATGGATGCAAGTGGGCTAACCAGTGCCGTGGTTCTCGCTATCTTAATCTCATGGACCACACGAGATTGGTGCCTCGTCTTGCTTCCCGATGTTCATCCAAGGACGACTCGATCATCTCTTCAGAGCCGACTTTCCCAGGTTCTCTTCGGTAGAAATCAAAGCAGAAGGTTCGTCCCCGCACCGTTTGCATCCCAGCATTGTGGCGGGGAATTTTTATCTGAAAAACATGGAATAATGAATTCAAGTAATGAATCCAGAACCTGTCTCTGTTTCTTTTTAAATTATTCCTGGCTTATACTGAAATTATTAGGGTTACTACCGTAAAAAGAATGACATTCTATTATCCCAAATCTCCGGCACCTACTTCCCGTGAGACAGCCTTTGATTGGGTGAATCCCATGGTGCTTGTTGAGGATTAGAAATTGGCCACTGAGGATAAAAATGGCAAATATGTTTTTCGCTCCGAGTGGAACAGAGAACTGTGTGGAGAAACTTGAGGGCATGTGCAGAACGGTTTGCGATCCCCAGACCAATAGCCGCTGTGCCTAAATTTAATTATTACTGTGAATCTTTGCATGGAATAAAGCGCAGCAGAAGCTAGCAGCTTCAGTCCATGAGAGAAGTTGCACGATGCTTCATTCTGGGAGTTTCTTAAATTAGCCGAGTTCAATATTCCTCGAATCCAGTGCATCCCAAAAAATTTAAAGAGGCAGTAATGCAGCACCAAGCTGTGGAAATATGACTGCCCTGGAGTGTAATTGACATGAACCCAAAAACTGTAAGCAGGATTCCGAGTAGGACATGGAAGAGAGCTTTTATTTGGCAGGACCAACACTAGACACCCAACCGCAAGTCGTCAGTACTGGAACAGAACTTGACCGATCTCCCACATTTCAAGCTATCACATCAGCGCGTGAGTTAGCATTGTGGACGGCCACAGCATCTTTCACTGCTCACGGCGCGATCAACTGACCAGGGTGGGTAATATTCAAGTAGTCGTCGCTCCTCGTCGGTCCATTTTCTGTCGGTTTGCTGCTGGTTGAACCTGTTTTGCGTTTTAATTTGTGCTAGGTTTGGCTGGTTGGTTTTCTGTTTCAGTTGTGATTAAGCCGGAAGGCTTGCGGGCTGCTCCGTTACGGACAGGTTCATTGATTCAGCCTATGTAGGTTCAGGAGCGTTGAAATCGTAGAGGGTTGTAGGGTTATTGCTCGCTGATGAAATGAGGAGCATGCGAGGTAGAGCACAGAGGATGAGGGGTGAACTCACTGGTGGAATGCGGGGGAGGGCCAAGGTCGGGTGGATGGTTCTTGGATAGGTTTGTACAATGAATGAGAGCGTTTGTGTTATGTGAAGGATTGGTGCAACCTGTCCATACCGATGCCCCTCTGATAGTTTCCAGAAGCGAGACACTTGAAAAATTTTCGTGTCTAATTTGGGGTACTGCATGGTGACACTGGCTCTATGGAAGTGGAGCATGAGGGATCATCAACACCTCAAACCTCCGGAGGGCAGTCTTCGCAATTGCCACTTGAGAAGGAATCACCACCTCCAGTGTTGTCGGCTACTAGTGGTGTAAGTGCTGCGAGGTTATCATCATCATCTGGGTCTGTGTGGGAGTCGACCGGTGAGAAAGGCCATCAAGCCACCTCGTTCGCGTCGCCTGCTATTCCTCCAAATAATCCTCTCTCCACTCAAGTTCGCCCCAGTCGTGTATTCAGTGAGTCCTCGGAGCCACTCTTTGAACCCGATGAGTTGCCTCGACCAGCTGATGAGAGTGTAGATTATGAAGCCGGCGCCAAGGAAATCTTGAGCACCTCACCAGAATATTTTTCCTTAGAGCATCCGACTTTTGTCGCTGTAGTCGAACAGTTGTCACCTTCAATCATCCTGCCTCATTCTGCTGCGCAGGACTCGCAAACCCTCTCCGATCTACCAGTTTCCAGCACATGCTCAGATACTGTAGTTTCCTCAGGAATAAGATCTAAAGAGTTGCAGGTCTCATCCTTACAACTGAGCTTGTTCAATTCTGCCATTGTCCCTGAGAAACAGACATTTGAAGGTCTCTCAGTTGAGACGAGTACTCCCCTTACAGCACACTCTCATGGCATGTCTTCGGAGCCTCCAACACCTGGATCTCCCCCTCTTCCTTCTCAGACTTCTCCTGCTCCCTCCCCAGCGCAGCTTCACGACATTTCCGAGCCGCATCGATCACCCTCTCTCAAGGTTGCCAGCACTGGACCATCGCAGTCCACGTCAACTTCCCCGGTAGCTTTGAGTTTGCCACGGCGAGATACCACTGGAAGGTATTCGTTTAGGGAATCGGAACATCAAAAGAGAAGGAATCAGCCTGCGCTACTGGGAGGTCCATCGTCGTCTAGTCGGGGGAACACGACTGAAGAGAAGAAAGCTGCCGAGAATGATTTGTCGTCATTGGAAACCTCATCAAAAAACTGCGATGTATACATTGGACTATTCGGGACGGACCTCTTGTTGGCTAGATATGCGAAGTGGATGCATGCGGAGCTGGAGTCCCACGGGACTTCATGCTTTATCGCCGACCGGTCCTTGTACTCTGAACAGCGGAGCCATGACATTGCGCTGAGTGTTCTTCATTCAGTTACTTTTGGCGTGGTCCTCATCACTAAGAAAGCGTTCCGGAATCCGTATACCATCGAGGAGATTAGCATCTTCCTGGACCGGGGTAATCTTGTGCCAGTGTTTTTCGATGTAGCTCCTCCTGATTGCCTGATGAGAGACATCGTGGAGAAACGAGGGGAGATTTGGGAGGTCGACGGCGGGGAGCTTTGGAGTGTGTACAAGGGGGGTGAGAAAAGCTGGTCAGATGCCGTGGAAGGGCTGTTGACGGTGGAAGATAGGCGCGTGGAGGCGAACTGGCGGAATTGGCGAGAGAGTATTCGTCAAGTAGGAAGGTTGGTCGGTTCTTCATTGGGACGACACAGCGCTGCGGACATCGAGGATCAACGAGAAGCTCACGAGGAGCTCCCGTGGCCAAGAAATGCGTACTTTGCAGGGAGGGAAAAGGAGTTGAAGGTAGTGGATAAAATGTTGTTCTCTGGTGGCAATGCTACGACTGTGGATTCATCAGGAACAGTTGCACAAACCTTGGCACGCAGGAGCGACGACTCCAGCAAGGCGGAAACAGAAGACTTGGAGGCCACTCGACTCTCAAATTACGGTGAGTCTCACGAGGAGATTGTTGTGTGGCCTTATCAATCCTCAGGTCAATTCTCAGGACTGTGCAGGGATCCCTTTCAGACCCAAAGCCAATTAGAGCGAGGAAGAGAAGGCTTCAGTGGGAACTTGAAGGAACATTCTGGTTCTCGACGAGGAACGTGGGGACGGTCGTCACGCGAGCAAAAGCGGCGTGATTCTAACGATCGGAGAGGAGAAAATGACAAATTCAGGTTCAGTCATTACTGCGTAGTGACAGGAGCTCCCGGGATCGGAAAGTCCGAGCTCGCGTTAGAGTATGCATACAGGAATGCGCAGAAGTTTGAGATGGTACTGTGGGTCAATGGGGAATCTCGATATCTCCGTCAAAACTATCTGAATCTATCCAGTGTCTTGGGCGTGGACGTGGGTTCCACGGAGAATCAGAGTCAGACGGGTAATACTACAGGAAGGGGGCGAGTGATGACATTCGACGAGCGAGAGGCAGAAGCTGTGCAGACGATTAGACACAAATTGCAGACAGACATTCCTTACCTTCTCATCATCGATAACTTGGATGCTGAGCGCGACCCTTTGGATGGACGGGATCTTACAGAACTTCTGCCACGACCAGGAAGCGCCACCCATGTCATCATCACGACACGTCTACCTCGCGTCATGCATTTTGATATTTCTCTGGAGCTGCCCCACTTGTCGAGCTTTGAAGCGCTTACTCTCATGCGCGACGGGAAGTGGGAGGAACGATCCTTTTCCGTGCAACAGATCGACAAGTTCAAAGAATTTGAGGATAAGCTTGGTCGGCTTCCGTTTGGGCTTGCCATAGTGGGGAGACTCATCAATGAATTCGATATGAAGCCCTCGGAGATTCTTGCAAAGATGGGGACGGTAGAAACCAAGAAATCGTCGTTTACTTCTAATTCCATGGGTAGAGACGATATGGTTCTGCGCAGTAATACGTTTCTGGTGAAACTTTTGGACGTGTGCTTCAATCTCATGGCTGGAGGAACCGGCGCCAAGAGCCTGGCAGTTCGCATGGCGTATGTGGGAGGATGGTTTGGACCCAGCCCTTGCCCGCTCTGGCTTCTCGCATTGGCTGCGAATAAGCTTGAAAAGGAATTGGGGGGACGGACGAATTTTTTTATTTCAATGTTGAGCTGTTGGATGTCGACATCGAATGGACGCTCCGAGGCCGATGCTAGAGATCTTTTGACTAGGCTCGGACTTGCGCGCGCCTCTGCTCGGGATGATAGTCTCTACTTCCCTGACATCATACAGGTGAGGCGTCCGTATCCATTGCTTCGTCGGTGTTTGGTATCTGAATGCATCATCTAATGGGGTGTTTTATTGTGACTGGCAGTCTTATTGTCAAATGCGAGGAGGTGAACCTGCAGCGCGGTGCTTCGTGCGTGCTGTTCGCAAGAGTGGCAGCGTTGTGCTCCATTACAATCACTTCTGGGCCGCAGCCTATCTAGTGCTACGATTTGGCAGCGAGCCAGCCGTTGTGGAGATGCAGGTGCCGGATCTCATTATTTTCGCCCGGCGTCTTGTGTTGCCTCTCGCACAGCGTGCCTTCAACACTTTCTCCCGCTGCTCGGCTGCAGTTGAGGTCCTGCACCTGTGCTACGTGTTGTTGGAGGAAGTTGAGAAATCGTACGTCTCGCAGATAAATCAGGACCGGTGGGATCAATCTCTATGCTGGAGATCCGGAAATGCTGGCCCATCGCATCAGGTATGGTCGAGTTTTTCCACGATTCCACAGAAACAAGTGTAATATATTAACTGACATCTTCTTTTTAGTGATGATCTTAGACTTACAGACTTAATACCCTAAGCCCGAAGATGGAATATACTTGAACCTTAGCTTTAAAGCCTCTTTGTTTCGTACTTTTCTCCAGGTTGACGAGTACGAATGGCGAGACCTGACCCTTCTGAAAGCCCACCTTCTGGAATCTCGAGCCAAGCTCTTGATGCGAGGCGGACAATACGACGCGGGGGAGGAGCTTTGCCGCACATGTATAAGTATTCGACTCGTTATGCTGGGAGCGGATCATCCTGAAACCCTCGCTGCCCAGGAGACCTTCTCTAAAATCAAAAGTGCTACAGAAGTTCCACATAAACTGCATCGCAATCTTTTAATTCTGGATTAAACCCCACTTCTTCTTTTCTTCCTCGTCATGATTGCTTGCTTCTTTTCTTCCTTCCTTCCTCGTTATTTTTTCTTTTTCTTTTTTCTTGGGACAAGTTGATGCAGAGAACACAGGGATGGTGATCAATTATGATCCCACCGTCTTTCAAGCATCAACCAGTCAAGGACGTTCGAGTTCTGGGAATGAACGGAGAGGACCCAACACGTCCCTTCCTGAACCCAGGAATGGTTCAAACCTTCGGTTACGATGAAGAGAAATGTTTTTTTTTCTGCAGTATCTCATGAGTAACGAAGGTTATTGAGCAATATGCCGTTTCAGGTTGTGTTTGTGCTCCCAGTACGTGAAATGGAGTTTTTTTCAGCCTGAAGGATATTATTTTCATCAAACGGTTACCTCATTGGTACTGAGTTAGACGGTGTGTAGAAAGAGTTTATTCATTTAGGGTTGGGTTCTTCTGAATGGGCGGTGGTTTCCATGAAGCCCCATGAAGAGAGATTGATGGAAGGGAGAAGAGCAGAGAAGTCGTCATCAGTTATTTAGCGGATCAATTGAGACGTTTGTAGGTTAACATTCATGCCGTAACTGTATGTAATTGCTTGTTACTCATGACTTGCATTGGCAACGCTGTCAAGGCTCGGGGAATTGGGTAGTTGTATGTTAATTTGTGCGTTGATTACCAGCATCAGATATCAACAAGATACGTGATGAGAACAATGAAAGACTGAATGGATAGTCTTAAAATACATGAGCTCTACCCCATAATATCAGACCGTGTACATCGTAGCAGTTGAAGTGTAAACTTCCAGTAAATTGCATGACGTGGATGAGTGTTGGTGGAATCCAATTATAAAGAAAGCTAATTTTTAGATGTGCAGTAACAAAATACTAAAATGCTCATCGACAGACACAGATCCCATTTCAACTATTTCTAATTACAATCTTTGCAAATTAATTGAATTTTTACATGTTAGCATACTACCCATCCGCATTAGAAAGTTCGAGCAAAATCTATCACTACTGTGAAAAACAAGCTACACAACGATGTGGACACATATCCTTGTGCGAGATGTCTGCCTTCAGTTGCAGGGAGGTCCATTGTTGATGACAATTAGTTCTTGATGGATAACATGTGTTGTCTATTTCATACAGAACAAGAGCGGCTGCCAAATTGCTACTAACTAGTCATTACTGCCACAAGCTTTAGAGAAGCTTGGGAGAACCAATAAAACAAGATAAATAATCACTGACAATGATTAGCAAAAGTCAACAGTAAGATTCCATCATCACGCAGATATCTGGGAGTCAAGAAAATTATGACGTTTTCTTAAGGGCGAAAAATCCACAAATCTTTTGTATGGATTGAAATATCAGTTACTTCAGTATCACGTTAATGAGTTACCAGCCCTGGTTAAACGGACCCTATCTTTGATTAATAAGGTCTTGTTGAACTCATGGGCAAGTGTAAGAATATTAAGGCTCTTGATTGCAGGAACAACTTCACTGGCAGTAAGAACTACTAAAAATGAATCCAACCAATACTACCATGTATAGAATAATCAATAATGTTAGTCTTCACTCGAAACTGTACACTTGTAAATACTAATTTACAAATTTACCGCCCTTGCAGCCATGTCTGCATCCGTTTCAACTTCCTCTTCTTCTGAGGCAACTTGTGCTCCATCCTGCAGCAGTTAAAATAATAACAGTCAATACTAGAGAAAGCGAAAGAGGAATACTTATCTAATTAATACAATGGCACCTCCTGCCACTTATCTAAAGGTGCAAGATGTCGGAACAAGAATGATCTCATGAGGTGGAATTTTGGAGCGATGGGCTTTAGCCTCTTTCCGTATAGACTCATCTAGTTACAAAATCCACATTATACACATTGTGTTGGTTGTAAATCTTGAGGTCCAAAATCATGGAGGTGCACCGAGTATCAAAATCTGCAGTGCACTTTACCTCGCTTGGTGTTTTAAGATTTCTCAAATAGAAGTCCAACGCACCCTTGCCACGCAAAATCTTTGCACCTTCTCCGTTTCCATCGGGTGCGCCCACAGCATCTTCATCCAGTACTACAGCATCTACCTGCTCACCTTCGTTCGAAATACTATCTGGCACCTAGCAGTAGTCGCAAAACAAGTCAACAGTAATCAGTTGTATTGATGAATGTTAACACAGTCATGGCCTCATTATGGTTAAGCATATCGGTTTCTTACTATGAAAGAATCAAAAAAACAAAGCTCTATTACTGAAACGTTTGATCCATGCACACTACAATGTATAGTTTGAGGAAGACTAACTTGGTACATAGCTTCAGTGAGTACAGTTTCCAATGTGGAACGTAACCCACGTGCACCAGTGTTTTTAACCACGGCCTTCTGGGCAATCCTCCGCAAACCTCCTTCTGTGTAATGGAGTTTCACCTAACAGAACCAGGCACGGATCTACCGCGTTATTGTTTATGATTAAAAAAAAGAAATACAAAAAACAATAATCATTAAAACGTGTCCTTAAAATCACCGCAATGGCTAATTTTCCAAGTACATGTTTCTAAAATTTCTGCTAGATAGATTTTAACTACAGAGCACAAATAGTTCAAGCACAGTGTACTTACATTGTTCATCGCAAACATCTTCTTGTACTGTTTACCAAGAGCGTTCCGGGGTTCAGTGAGGACCTGTAAAATTAGAGCCATCGTGAATGAAGATTCTTCATTATTCTATTACATAAAGTGTGTTTTTTTAAACTTATAGCAAGAATGTAGAATGACAAAACTAATAATATACTCGAAAGTGCCACTATCAGAGTACTCAAATAACGTAATGTGCCGTAAATCCTGTGATAGTCATTCGGTCTCCCAAGGAGAGTGCACATCATACTGACAATGGCAAATACCTGGACAAGCTGGTCTTCGTCAAGTGCAGAGAGACTGACTATCACGGGAAACCGTCCGATGAATTCAGGAATCAACCCATAAGAGATCAAATCACTGCTCTCTACCTGCACGAATTAGTCAAAATTCACTTGTCAAGTAATCTGTAACTTCAAAACAGGCATGTGCTCAATTTCCTACTGAAAAGGTTCAACAAAGCAAATCTACATACCTTCATCAGACCTAGAACATGCCTAAACCATGGAAAGAAACCTGAAATTGAAGGATGTTGACAAGAAATTTCTGCAGGCATGAAAAAATGCTCGAGGGGGACGGGTCCAATTTAAAAGCCACTTTTAAATTAAATTACAAAGGAAAAGAGTACTATTATTAAAGATGTGAGGTACCGTCTCAAGCAAAGATGAAGTAATGGCGGCGTCGATCAGTTTGTTTCCTCGCATATTGGCACGAACAGGTGCTCCAAAACCAATTGATGAATCTTGCTTCCTGAAACAAGAAACGAAGGTTGAAAGGCATGAGGGTTTGATAACACAACAAAAAGTTATCAAAAAGAAGACAAATAAATCATGAAATGCTATTCGTTGACCTTAACACTTGAAGATGAAGAAGCCTACCTTTCTGCAATGCTCTTCTCCAATTCAACGAAAGCACCTCCACATATGAAAAGAATGTCTTTGGTATCAATCTGCACAAACTTAACTGTTCACAGAAATATACAACCAAAGTAGGAGCTTACACTGAAAGATAATGAAGAGACCAGACCATAACATACATTTGAATTGCTCATTAGAACGCAGAAAAACTTCACAAAAACTGACACAAATTAGGCACAAACAACAATTTTCATTTCCAAAGGCAGAGTTGCAAGTAAGAGAATGAGATGAAAAATGGCATGCTCCGAGGGTAAAATAACATATGAAACACAGTACCTGAATGTGTTCTCCTCTTGGATGTTTCCGTGCCCCTTTCTCTGGGACATTCACAACCTGTTTCAAGGCACACTGAATCAGGATCGAAACTAGTTTCCTTCGTTATCCCCTCTGGATACCTGCATTAGTGCTTGGCAGAAAATATAGCAAGAAACTGCAGAATTGTGAGAGAGGACAAAAGAAGAAACGTACAGTGCCTTCAAGCATCTTCAATAGTGCCTGCTGAACACCTTCACCAGATACATCCCGACTAATATTTTTACTCTCAGCCTGAACCATACACTGAGTGTCAGTATTGAGTTGCGAAGCTGCATTCAAAGAAAATTATAACTGAGGGCGTGAAAGTCAGTAGAAAAGGGCAGAAACGGTTACTCAGTATTTGTTTGTTCTGATACAAGCATTTATACACAACTTTTACGCCATCCAAGAGAACATCCGAGTCCTGCCCACTGTTGTGCTATCTAAAAACAATTGATCTACTCTACCAATCAAGAACTAGCCAGAAATTCGTACTAGGATAAAAAAAGAATACCTTCTTTGTGATTTTGTCCACTTCATCAATGTAAATGATGCCTTGCTGGGCAGCAAGTACGTTAAATTCTGCTTCCTGTAGTAACACATCCAACCGTTCAGCAAGAGAGAATGCCTCGTAGATATACCGCTATGCTTCAAGCACATGCTGACCTAGTTTCGTTCTACACTTTCTAAATAGTAGTATATCGTAACTCACACACAATAAGAGCAGGTTAAGTTATGAGGAAGAATTGAAGAATATACATAGTCACTCTCAGAGTACATAAGAAGCGTACCACTAGGAGCTTGTAAAGTATAGATTCAACATCCTCTCCTACATATCCTGCCTGAACAGAGTCAAAACATTCCATGAATAGAAGGATTCCCACAATATCTTAGTAAACACGAAGTTTTAGGATCAGTAATCATATGAAATTATGAGATAGTTGCCAATGTGGTTTATCTCAAATAGGTAAAAGACATCAAAACTTCTGAACCCAACTTCAACCTCAGGTCTGGGAAAAAGAACGGCTAAACTTTTTTCTGCGTAGAGCTTTACTTAGGACGTAGCAAAACCTTCAAACAACATGTTCTGATCAGTTACCTGCGTGAGACTCGTAGCGTCAGCAATGACGAAAGGTACATTTACAAATCTAGCCAAGGTTTTGGCAAGCAATGTTTTACCTGTCAGAGAAGTACAAAATATCAATATTCTTTTGGGTTATGTCGCCTGGATAACGAAAAGCAATCTCTGGTTTCAGACTTAGAGAGTAGCTAAAGTATGTGCGCTCAGCTCCCAAAATAAGCAACTGCTGAACTAAGACTTTAACTCACCAGATCCGGTGGGACCCATAAGGAGAACATTACTCTTCTCCAATTCCACATCATTCTCTTCACATTCAACTTCGCTCACACCAAATCTGCAGGTGCATCACAAGAATTTGAAATCGGTATCTCACAATGTACATTAGTAACTCAATAATCTCTTCGACAGTCTTAACCAGCACCACCTCTCATCGAGAGCGAAATGTCCTGATTGCCGACTATTATATGCCAGTGATGTATATTCACAGAGCGTAATGAAGCACCTCCACATACATGACGGATATTCATTGCTTCACTATTTTGGAAATTGGTAATCCAAGTAGAATGGAATGCTAATATATTATGTAACAATAGCATACGAGACAATTGCACTTGTACATGAAGCAGAACGGTGTGTATCATAAAGAAATACCCCTCATTTGTGGGTTTCGCATTGCCTTTCCGCATGGATTCAAAGTAGATGCGTTTGTAATGGTTATAGACCGCCACGGACAATATCTGCAGGGTACCAGAATTTTAGTTCTTGTCTGATCGAATCTAAAATCATTCCTTCTGCTGCGAATCTTTCGAAGACTGATCTTCCACGACATAATTCCCAGCCATAGAAGTTTCTGAGTAAACAGCAGGTTAGTTCATTATTGACTGAGTCTTGAATACACAAACCCTTGCAACTGCAATCGATTTGCTTCCCAATCATTAGAAGACAAGTTTGAAGAGGTGAAAAAGACGTCCACAAAGATCCTCACTCATCCACGGAGTGTGACAGAAGCAAAGGTTTTTATCCACAATGCAATCCAAACAGCATCAAATACGTTGAGTATATAAACCTAAAAGCGGTCAATTCAATGTTGCTGTACAACACTAACAAATGTGGTAAAAGTAACCAAAATACCAAGATGAAACAGACGAAGACAAGCTATCCGAACAAGCAACCATGACATTGAAAATTACCAACATTCTGATAATACATACTAAAGTTAGCAACATCAAACTAACATTCTGAATTATTCACGATGACTAACATGGCACTTGGCAGAAAAAAGAAAATTAGTGGTTCTGCACACATACGATGAGGAGGTGGAATGTACACGTGCCTTCTTAGCCTGCTCCTGTCCAACAACAAACTTGTCCAAAGCTTGACAAATTTCTCGCGGGGTGGGAAGGACTTTCCCAAGGGAAGAGCCGCCCCAGGAGTCTCCAGAGCCAAACCCACCACTTGATCCTTCTGAAGCTCTAGTTCCAGTGAGCGGCCGGACAAGGTTGGCGCTGGAAGGGTAAGAACCAGCAGCTGCTTGTACAAAATTTGGAGGAGGTGGAGAAGAAGGATGGGACGATAGACCTGCACCTAGCTGCCAATGATGTGGCTCATCACGATTCAATGGCCTTCGGGAAGCGTGCCATCGAGAAATACGTTGTACAGTTTCACGCAATTGCGCACTTTCTGCGACCGATAGCACCGATATCGAGCCTCCGGAAACATTTTTTGTACCCTGGTCTTCTGTATTTTCAGGTGCCCCCTCAGGCTCAATGATCGCAAGAGATTCTGCGCCTCTACATTTAGGGCAAGTCAGCACCGAATCAAAGGTGTAGACGGACGCCACTGGGGCAATTAATGGGGTGCTGCAACTCGCGCATACAGAATGGGCTTGCAAACCCTTCGCTCCACGTTTTTGTCGTCGTGACCCTCCTTGATCATGAAACCTGGCCACTTGCGCTTTTCCCCTTCCAATGGAATTGTGGTCCACTTTGAAATTACAATCAGTAACCTGGAAAGGAGCAGTAGCTGGCAATAACGTGCTGTACGAGCGTATGAGTTCGTGCTCACAATGTCGAATGACGGAGGTAGAATCCACCTGTGATCTCCCAAAAGTGTGTGGAGAAGCTAAATGCCAACTGAATTTCAATTCCGGGCTTGATGTCTCGAAGCATTTACGACAATTGGTGGCAACATTACTAAACCTTCTCCACCTCGCGGCAGCCATTTGGCAGTAGATTCTGTAAGCAGAAAGTGGTCTTCGTGCACGTAATGAAACACAAACTAGATTAAAAACCCTAACACAATGGGTAAGGTCATGGAGAATGGGAAATAAAGAAGAATTGAGAACTACTTATCAATCCAAACTATAAACTGAGGCGGAATGCTTCTCCATTCTTCTTCATCTTAATCTCAACGGATCGCCAACAGATTGAATCTGTACATGATTGAGGAGCAATGCTTCCTTCGTAATGCCAACCACCGCCCCGTCAAATTCTTCTTCCCTTAATCGTAAGCGAGGGACTGACTTGACACATAATCTCGCACCAGAGTCACGCTCTACCCTTCCACTGTCACGCAATTGTTCCTTCATCAGAACCTCCACCTTGATGAGAACGAATCAACTTCGACCCCGAAAAGGAAATCCAACTCCAGAGCCGACTGACCAGAGATGGGTAAGAGATTCAGAGAACTTGAAAACTTGCAGTCGACACTGCTCACTATTCACTCTTCAGCAATCCTTGACTAAACCTACGAAGTGCACCGGGGAAGGCCTAATTCACCTTAACAGTCTTCAGCATTCAGTCAAATGAGGCCGAAACGACACAACTCGCAAAGACTCACATACGGGGTACAGTTCAAGCTTTTGAGCCATACCAAGGTATTAAATCCTAAATTCTCCAGCAATCATGGTTCAAAGGCTGCCTAGCTGAAAAGTAAAAAAGGATCGGCCTTCAAAAAAGTCGAAGGAATATTGAAGTCTATTTTGGACCAAAAGCTATCTCGACTCTCCTCATTGCACAAAAGATCCGGCCATCCATGGCCATCGCCAAAGCAATTCCTTAAACCCGGACTTTTCCTAGACCACCTCTCTGACCTTCACGCTAAGGAGGACTCAAGAGCCGATTTGGGTATTGAAGTCAGTTCATGCTGTTGAAAAGAGTGGCTCGGACTACTGCCCCAATGACAATGAACACTTTTGCCCCATCCCCAATGATTTGCTCCTCTCCACTGGACCACCCAGATGCAGAAGGATGAGATGACGTGGCTCCATTCAGAAGAGAATCTCTTTGGTTCTTCGGAGAACTACAAAGTTTGGGAATAAACATGTTTGGAAGTCAGTGCAATGCATTCCCGAATTGGGCATTCGTGACGCGCGAGAGAGCAGTACCGCAGCTCCAGTCTGTCTGTGACCTGTAGGTTATACACCTCCTGTCTTATCGATTAAAGCCCAAGCTGTTTTCTGAAATGTGGGTGATTGGGCTGCGGAAAAAGCTGACGATGATCAAGGCTTGTTGAGGGTAGGCTGTAGACCAGTAGGGACAAGCCTAAGCGCTTCGCTTCCTACCCCAGCGAAGGCACATCTATGGAGGATGTGAGGCTCTGTGAAGTCTCATTACCACGTCGGTGCAGATTTTTACTTCACAAGAACTGTTGAGATTTAACCACACGAGCGATTATGATAAGTTTCTTGACAATTTAGTGTTGGGACACTCTGTCGCAATTCGAGAAACCAGTGGTAAATAATACAGATTAACAAGAAATAAAAAACAAAAATCGGCAAAATCACCGTGGTTTTAATATATGCTCACACAGAACCCATCGTCCACAATCTTCATTCTACCTTCCAAGATTTTTCTACCTGTAGAGACGAGCACAATGAGAGCAATGTCAAGGACTTCTGTGTAGCCTGTAGAAAAGTTAGCCTCAAGGGAAGAATATTGACAAATGAAGAGGTAATTAGAAGGGTGTCCAGAGAAACATCATTCTGTTTGTTTTGGATTAGGTGTCCATGCGTGCATTTCTCCGTAAGCTGCAAAGCTATCCCAAATGCGAATGGCGCTGAACTCGCGCAACCGATTAGAGTCCACTTCTCGGTGCGCTGTGCTTATGTTTACTGTTTCACTCAGCATCCAGGTCATTTGTAGACATTTCATTCCGGAGGTCTATACCCGCCTCATCACGTCAATCTCTTCAGCATGTGAAAGCAAATGACCGCTGCCAAAATACCGTGAAGGATTGCATTGGAGCCGATGTGCATGTAGCAAGTCTTCACCCAAACATCCTCAACAGTCAGTTTAACTGAAGAAATGCGCCGGCGATGTCTTGACAAGCAGATATCGTACATGGAAAACCTTGGTCCAGTGATTCTATTCTAACGCAACGAGCCACAACTTTCCCTTCCCATTGTTCTGATCTCACCATCGCAACAGCACGAAACTCCAATCCCTGCAAAATCCTATTTAAACCTACGGCATAGAATTTCGATGCCAAGAAGTCATGTAAATCAGTTTTTATTGGCTCTGGATAACCACCTAATAGCTTGTTTTTAGTGGTTCTGCTTCTGTGATAAATGTTATTAGTTTTGTCTAAAATCAAATAGATAAAATAAGTAGTTCATTATTATAGTTTATCATTAGATAAGAAAATGAAAAAGAACATTGATCCAAATCTTGTCATTATCAATAAGTTTAAACCATATTATTTTCTAAACAATCTCCTGATGTTCAAAATTGACATTATCTTTTCCACATTCTTAAAAATGGTACCAATTTCTATTTACAACAATGAAACAACATTCAATTTTATCTTTTTTTTCTTCCTTCCTATTTTAGTAGTCAACACCTAACAATGAATCTCTCTTATTCCATCTAATCTTATTTAGTATATGAAATACTATTCAACAATCTGAAAGTATATATTGTCTCCATATATCTTGACATTTCTAAATTCAATCATTCTTTATCTCTTCTTTGTTTGTGTTAGGAACATAATCCTTAGAACCTTCTAGAGACAAGTTTCTAGAACCCTCTAGAAGCAAGTCTCTGGAACCTTCTAGAAGCTTCTTAGTTGGCAGAAGATATTAGAGACATAGTCCTTAGAACCTTCTAGAAATAAGTTTCTAGAACCTTCTAGAAGCAAGTCTCTGGAACCTTCTAGAAGCTTCCTAATTGGTAGAAGTTGCTTGAGAAGCTTCCTAAATAGAAGTATGTATTGGAATCGAGGCTGAAGAGTTCTTCAGTCTCGACAACACATCTCTTGGAGTTCTAGCTCACCTCTCTGGTGTTGTTCTCATTTGATTAATCTATATCTTGCCAGTTCTTCTTGAACTTCTTGTTAGATCTCGAGTCTGTATTTCTGTGTCCGTGACAGTTTGTCGAGACTGCACTCACCTCAGATATTAGAGCTAGTTTCTTCTTTGTTAGAGTGTGGATTACCCCTCTGCTTGGAAGTGTACTAGCATTTTAGAGGTTGCAGATTACCCTCCTCTAAACTGATATTTCTTTTGTTACAATATTGGAGTCTTATTCTTCTTGGAGAGAGTGGATTATCCCTTTTCTTGAAAATCTTAAGGCATTTTAGAGGTTGCGGAGTATCCTCCTCTAAACCAATATTGTCTTCTTGTAGAGTCATTTCTGTCCTTCTCTTAGAATGGCCGGGGGCCAAGACATTAGTATGACGAAAAGTTCAGAGTCCAAGTTAGATGCTATCATGAATGCCCTCTCTACGTTATCGCAAAGAACTGCAGAGATTAAAGGAGTCGTGGCAAGGCTTCATAATGATGGAGCATTTGGGATGGCACAATCTAGGTTGTACCAGCCTCAAACTTCTGTACTTAGAGAAGCAAATTTGCCTCAAGTTCAACAAGCACCACTGATTCTACAACATAAGGAGCCCCGAGTTAGCCTTCCGGATAAGTTTGATGGTACGCGTTCCAAGTTTCGAGGATTCGTCAACCAAATCAGGTTGATAACAGTTTTACAGTCCGAACGCTATCCAACGGAGGAGTCACATGTTGGGCTTGTTGGAACCTTACTTACAGGACAAGCTCTATCATGGTTTGCTTCTTTGTTTGAGAAACGATCGTCCATACTAAACAACTTTGAAACCTTTTTGGAGGCATTTGCAGAAGCATTTGGTGAACACGACAAGGTTCCATGGACTACAACAAAGATCTGGTCACTACAACAAGGGATGCGTTCTATATCAGTCTATACATCGGACTTCAGGCAATTAGCATGCGACATCAATTGGGACGAAGAAGCGTTGATGAGTCAATTCTATTGGGGTTTAAGGGACGATGTGAAGGATTTGCTATTAATTCTTCCTAATCTATAAACGCTCAACAAAGCTTTTAACCAAGCTCTGAAGTGCGATAACCGCCTATTCCAATGTCATCAAGATCAACGTTCAAGACAACATACGGTTTGCCATGCCCCAACTATGTTGGCAAGCAGCGTGAATTCACATTCAGAGGTAAAAGACATGCAAATTGATGTGGTACGTGTCAAATCCCTTACTCTAGAAGAAAAAAAGCGGCGTATGGAGGAAGGTCTATGCTTGTATTGCGGTGAAGAAGGCCACAAAGTTGGAAACTGTCCCAAGAAGCAAAATCGACATATTGTTAAGACTAGGGGTGCGTTTATTCAAGAAAACGAGAATGCCCAGCTACAATAGGAACCGTGCGGCTGGATAGTGAAATATCGCAACAACAACCAAGTTCCTTTCTTTCCGCTCAACCTGCCCTTTGTTTTACAATCCTTTTGCTTATTGGCCCTCAAAAACTGAGAACCTTAGTATTATTAGATTTAGGAGCATCTCCTTGTTTCTTAGATGAAGAATTTGCGAAGCATCATAAGATCCTTTTAGTACAAAAATCCAAACCTGTTCACGTTGAGGTCATAGATGGGCGATCTTTATTGTCTGGTAGTGTCACCCATGAACCAGAACCTATAGAAGTGACGTTTAAGGACCATAGTAGTCATATTATTTTCAATATTATTACAACCCCATCAAATCCTGTTATTCTTGGTCTTTCCTAGTTGAAAAAACATAACCCATTGATAGAGTGGAAGTTGCAGAAGATGACCTTTTCCACAAAACCACCTAAGAGCAAGCCTAGTAAAAAACCCCGAATAGAGAAATCCTTATTTATTGGAGCAAGAGCGTTTATAAGATCATCCAAGGAAGGCACACTGTTTGTCATTTATGCAGCTCCAACTACCGGGGAGAAGATCTCGACAACAAGTATACCGGAGCAATATAAGGATTTTAAAGACATGTTTCAAAAGAAAAATGCCGACATGCTACAGGAACACAGACCATATGATTGCGCCATAGACTTACAAGAAGGAGCACAACCACTTTTTGGTCCAATCTACAATCTATCCCAGACGGAGTTGGCGGAGTTGCGGAAGTACATCGACAAGAATCTAGCCAAGAACTTCATTCGTCATTCAAAATCGTCGGCTGGAGCACCCATCTTATTTGTGAAGAAAAAAGATGGCTCATTGCAGATGTGCGTGGACTATCGAGGCCTCAACAAGGTAACAAAGAAGAATCGTTACCCGTTACCCTTGATTTCTGGTCTCTTAGAACAACTTGGACATGCAAGGATTTTTACAAAAATTGATCTAAGAGGAGCTTTCAACCTCGTACGAATCAAGGAAGGAGATGAGTGGAAGACAGTGTTTCGTACAAGGTATGGCCATTTTGAGTATAATGTCATGCCCTTTGATCTTACCAATGCTCCAGCGGTCTTTCAACATATGATGAATGACATTTTTCGAGAGTACCTTGACGATTTTGTTGTCATGTATTTGGATGATATTCTGATATTCTCCAAAAATGACGAAGAGCATGAAAAGCACGTTCGTTTGGTCTTGGAGAAACTATGCAAGCGAGGACTATATGTCAAGTTGGAGAAGTGTTTATTTCACTAAATAGAGATGGAGTTTTTGAGGTTCGTTGCGACTATGGAAGGCTTGAAGATGGACCCCAAGAAGGTGGAAGCAATCGTGTCCTGGGAGGTTCCGAAGACGGTGAGAGACATACAATGCTTTCTTGGCTTTGCCAACTTCTATCGGATCTTCATCAAGAATTACTTTCAAGTTGCTGCTCCTCTCACTCGGTTGACATACAAGGATAAGCTAGAATGGGGACCTC